AGGAGAGTTTTGGGTGACGTTTCCCTAGCCTTCTAGTTTCCAAGTTAAGCCTGCCTGGAATCCATTTGATCATTATGCACTGTAGCTTAAAAAATGTGCCTGGGAAGAAAAAAGCGTGGCATTGCCAAGGAGCTTCACAGCCCTGTATGACTTGTGTAAAATGTGGAGTGGCTTTGGATTCGTTCCATTGAGAGAGCTTCTTCCTGGCTCGCAGAGACATTTCTTATGATATTTATTCATTTTAAGTCTCCTTACATTTTGCTTCAGCACTTTTTAGAATTTTAAGTGGATGGAAAGAAATCTGGCACTCTCTCTTCCTGATTAAAGCAACTGAACATGCCAACCCGTATTTCTTGCTAGTTCTAAAAGAAGTGAGAAAGATCTGAAGTATAGGTGGAAGAAATTTGTTACAGTGACTACCACTAGGTAGGTTCCTTCATTTCCTGGACTAAATCCTACGAGGGGACTAGCCACATAGAAAACCTTTTTGGTTTTAACTCTGAGGAAATCACAACAACACATCTAAATGATGTATATTAGAAATAATGAAAGAATGGAGATTCCTCAGTGTGCTGTTGTTAACTTCTCTACTTCCTTGCAATGAGGCAGAAGATGGTACAGGAATCTCTAAAGCAGGAGAACAGAGTAGAACATTATAGTACAAGAGGTTTTATTTAAGGAGTTGGTTTTATGTGTGATAATGCAAAATTAGCAAAGCAAAAATGCAGGTGAAGTTTAGGAAGTCTTGAAGAAATCTGGAGGCCTAAGTGATCATACAGTTCTGTGCACTGAATGTGTAGATCATTACAAAATACTTTCTCATTAGGTTAGACAAAGTTGGAGAAAGGTAGGGGACTCTCTTTCCTGTTTCACAGATGGTGGAAAAAGAGAAAAAAAAAAAGTGTATTGCACAAGGATAGCCACTGGCAGTACCAGGAGTTGGATCAACCCTTAAGAAAGCCAGAGTGCAATATGAGAGCTTTTGATCAACTTAGCAAAGAATTACAACAGATCCGCTGAGCTGGCTTTCCCTCCGTACAGCAGAGCTGTTCCTGGTAGCATATTAGTTCTGCAGCTCTTGCTCTTCTGTAATCCAGCAAATTTTCCTTCATTGTCTTCCTCACTTGCGACTGTCCCCAGAGCAATGAATTCCCTCCTACCAAACCTAGGGAAAAGAATTCAGTCCAGCATCTTGGTGCTCCTGTTTGCTCTCAGGGTTGCTGTGTTATTTCCCTTGAGCAGACAAGGTGTGTGAAAGCAGCACTAGAGTGCATCACCACTTGATGGCACCAAATAAATTTGAAAGATCATTTAAAATAAAGGAATAAAGAAGGGAAGTGACTCAGCTTTTCTGAAGTGTGGGAGGGCACCAGTAGAAGTCAGTCATGCTTGCTGTATTAGTAGAGTGCTCTGTAAAGCACTCTCAGCATCTGATAAACTTTTCCATTGCTCAGTTTCTTTAACACAGCATGAGTACTTCAGCATTGTTGTAAACAATGAGCAATTGGGCCTCATGTAGGAAACTAGTAAACTAAAAATGTGTTCTTAGCCCAATGTGCTGGTCAGTTTTTGAGCAAGAAAGAGCATGCACTTGCTTGGCTAAAAATGTTCTGGTTGCCGTGTAGTGGAGCTGTACACTTGCTGTATCTCTTCCAAGTTATAATAATTTCGCAAGTACAAGGCAATGGTTTAATGAAAATGAAGTTTCTGGACTGCATCATTTGAATAATTTTCCAAAATAAGGGGAATTCTACTGTCATTGCATTTTGTGTTATTAAATTCACAATGACTTTAATATTTCAGGAACTCCTTGCCTTAGAGATACTCCGCTTGTTCCCTGTGGGGACAGATGTTCGCAGTTCAATGACTGGAAGGATGACCATATTGATTCTTTAGCCATTAACATTAAAGTCTACCAACAGGGAGCTCCCCTAGTACTGTTACGGATGCTTCTGCTTGTCTTTTCTGAACGCATTACAAGAATCTTGTGCTTCTCAGGTTTTTATTAGTTCTCAGAAAAATTAGTTTCAGCAGCAGACATCTGCAAGATAACCTCCTGGTCTTTCCATTAAACACAGAAATTGCTAGAGGCTTCCTTTATTTAATTCACTCTGAATCCTCTGCTTTCTGTAGTTTTAGTTTCCTTCTGTCTTTTCATCTGTCCTTGAACATATTGCCTTGCTTAATTATATCCTGTTTTGTGTTTCGTGGAGAAGGAGGAGGAGGAAGATGTTAATGCTTGTCAAAATGACCAGCAATCTCCTCTTTTCTTTTCCTTGATTCCCTTTTAAATAAAAATGCCTGCTGCAACATTTGGTTAGTTGGTCCAGGTTAGCTGTAAAAACAGATACTCTGTTGGCTTCTTTTCTCAGCTAGTAGAATAGAGACAGAACTCATCCCAGCATTGTATGGATCAGAAACAATGAAAGATTGCAATGTACCTGTATCCCTTTCACTTCCAATTCTCCTTCTACCACATCGTGGATTAATGGAAGTGTGTAGTGTTGAGGGATCATGTACATGCATATGTATTGCATTCTTGTTGACGTGGAGACAGAAAGATTTTGGCACCAGTCCCATCTCTTTGTTCCCAGGCAACGGTTTTGTAATTAATTATTAGAATTAACTAGAAACTTCTCTGGCTGAGAAGCTGTTTGCTTTTTATTTGCATAGTACCTAGTGCAGTGGAGACCTGGACTGAAATTAAAGATCTTAATAGTAATTATATCTGATAGATCCTATGGTTGTCCATACACACACGCACCCAAATCAGTCCCAGCCCTACAAAGCTCATGCAAAGATTTTTTTAAAAGGGTTTTTATAACATGCCTCTGAATTTTGTGCATATCAATTCCAGAAACCTGTGTTGATTGAGGATCAGTTTCATCCTGTTTCTAGACCACATCTCATCCCTCTTGGGCCTTTTACTGTCCAAGTGCAATTTGACTTTGAAACCTAGAAGCATTTCACCATTACAATAGGCTGTAGTATTCCCAAGGTGCAGGAGGTAGTGGAGTGCTCCTTATCACTGTGGTGTACTCAAGAGAATAAATACAGCTCTGCAAAAAGGTGGATATTCAAAGCCATTAAAACCTTTGGGTGGTTTGGTTTTTTTTTTACGTTTGCTTCCCTCCTGTATAACTAATTAGTAGGAAGGATGCCAAAGATTGTATCGAAAGAAAGGCCTAAGTCTTTGAGAGCATCAGTGTCATATTTTTATAAGACAAATCTGTTGGCTTTCCACATGTGAAACAATATCAACCATTTAAGGAAGCAACTTTAAAAGATGCTGGCAGCTTTATTGCTGGTGCTGGTGTTGCACTCCGACCCATCCTAAATGGCTGGTGAAACAGTGCGTAGCAATTAGATAATCGTTTCATCAAAATATGATTAAATACAAATGCCTGTAATTGATGCTTCCTGTAAGCATTATTGATACAGGACTTTAATGAAAGCATATATACGTTCTTGCTGTTCCTAATATTTGAACTCCAGAGGGAGGAAAATGGAAAGCAATTAGAGTAACAAAATGGATGTTTGTAATGTAATTTCTTTTTCTGTTAATTTCTAATTTAATGGCAAGAGTCCATGTGCCACTTAAGAAACCATGTATTTAGACTTTGTGTAGTTGTTTAGCTCCGCTTTTGGCATGGATGTCTCCTGCATTCTGAAAGCTCTCTAGGCTGCAGTACTTTTCCAGGCTTGGTCATCTGCGTAGCCCTCAGCTGTGGGATGCAATACGCAGAGATTCACTGGGGGGGAAAGAGAGTTGGTGGCCACATTAATGTGATAAATGTTCTGGAAAGCATGCCCACTCAGATGGAAGAGCCAACCCTGCCTCTAAATGGTGCTGCAGCTTGGCTTGAGGCTGCAAGCATCTGCACGTGAGCCCAACTCAGATCGGCGTTTTCTGCAGAAATGGGCAGTCACTTCTCTGCTGGAGACTGAGCCTGTTTTTCACGCATACAATTTGAATTGAGAAAGGAAAGGTTGCATGCATCTCTTCACACTGGGGTATGAAATTCAGCCCAGGACCAAGGCAGCAGCTCCTACCACTGGACTCTTAATTTGGTTTTGAGTCTTTGCCAAAGGTAAAGCTCTATATGCTTTTTGTCACAACTTCTCCAAATACAGAGCAAACTGTGTATGTCTGAATAAGGATGAAATAAAAGACTCTGAACTTAAAAGTATTTAATCTTACAAGTTGGTTGAGCACTGGAGTAGGTTGCCTGGGAAGACTGCTGAAGCCATGGCATGAAGTGTCTCAGAACAGGTTAAAGAAACATCCCCAGGAGCCAGGCAGCCCGTGCAGGGGGGTGGGCGAGGCGAGAGGGGTGTCTCCCTCGCAGTTTCCCCTTGCATGAGGCATGCTTCACTGATGAAGCATTTCAAAACGCAAATGAAGCATGCAGTAGCCCAGAGACAACCTGTGCTGAGGCACAGTGAATTCTTTAGTGTCTCAAGTGAGGCATGAGTTAGAGAGGATGGGAGACACCAGATTACATGAGCTCCAAAGGTTCAGATGTAATTCTGATACTTGCTGATGTCATCAGTCACGGAGCAGTGTTGCTCTCTGATGAGACCAGCAACAATACAATGTTACACAATCAGAAGGACAAGGTTAAAAAGTAGTACAGTGTTTATAGAAATCTCAGTTGGCGTTCATAAATATACCAAGCTGCTATTTTATGGTATTCGTGTTTTCAGGGGAAAAGCAGTAAGCTTTCTGGAAAGTGAGAAGTTTAAAATATTATGCATTTGTGAAAAGGTCAGATCCCCCGTTTGAACACACTATTAAAGTGTATCAAAGTTTTGTTTCTCTTACTTGAAAGGCCTAGCTGGAGCTCTACAGAGAGCAATTGCAAAGTCAAATACAGGAGGATTTATATTTGAGATCACAAAAGGCAAGAGTTCTAAGACTCATAGTTTCTTGATTACAGAATTTGTTTCTGTAACAACAGAGAGTCGTGTTGTCACCTGGACGGTTTATCATCCTTTAGGTTTCGGCATAGTCCAAATTGCTGGTACTTGAGAGACTGGACCATCCACAGCTGGATCAGACAGTGCTTAAAATATGGTGCACAAGACAAAGCCTTATACACATTAAAAAACAAGGTAAGTTTTTACAAGGAAAAGCCATGAATATATTTGATCAGCTTTTTGAGACAAGTGTGGCTTACCTGGAATACCTATTGTGGCCAGGTCCAGGTTTTAAGTTCAGATATGTCTTTGTCAAAAATAAACATTGCACTTGAGTTTTAGCTAAAGCTCTTTACAGCTTTTATTTCCTCTTGTTTCCCAGGAAGCTTTTTGTTTTTAAACAGCGTTGGTGTCCAAAATGTGCTACATGCAGGAGAGGCATAAAAACCTGATAGACAGTGCCCCTCCTCATCCCAAAGGCTCAGATAAAATGCCAAAGCAAATCCAGTACATCAAAAGTTAGAAGGCCTACATCACAGGAAACGTGCTAACCTCCTTGTGTCCATTGACTAACTGTCACACTGCAGCAGTGTGCAATGCCATGGTTCTGATCTTTCTGATACCTGCGGCACTATGCTTGGGAAGATTTGAACAGCAGGTTTTAGCACTGATTTTTCTTCCTTCTTCTCTTCAGGTTCAGTATGGAATTTTCCCAGATAATTTTACATTCAATATTTTGTTGGATTGTTTTATAAAGCAGAAGAAGTATGAAGGTGAGAAAATCTGCACCAATTCTGCATCCTTAGTTCTATGCTCTGAAGTCTGCAGAGCCTGTCTTTGAATTAAAAACTTTTAGCCATATTTTCTCTGAAGTCACCTTAAAAACATGCTTTCTCTTTCCTTTAAACTGCTTTTCTGCATGTTTATATCCAATTTATGTTGGGTTTTTATTCATTATATAATTCTGAAACATGCAATTTGCAGTTTCCACTGTGATTAATCCCATTCCAAATGTAAACCAACTTCTCCAGTTTTTACAAGTCTGACTTACCTGCCAATGACATCATAAGAGTTATTAGTGATAATTAGAGTGTTAGGAGAGTTGAAATGCATGTTCATAGAGCTCATTTTACCTGGGATTTAGCTGTTCAAAAAGGTACATATCTAAACTGTTTGTCTAGACTTTCTGTCTGTTACTGGAGAGAGCCAGCTATGCTGAATTGCCATGTTGAGGTACCTGTCTTTCACTATTGACTGTTTAAGTGTTTAGATGAATAATCCTTTCATGTTTGATTACAGATATTTAAGATTTTCATTTCACTGCAGGGCTTCTGGTACTGTAGACTTGCAATGAGCTTTTCTTTGCATAAGCCTCTTGAAAAACAAATAACTGAAAGGGACAGTATAATTGCAGGAATTGTCTGTAGCTTTTATCATGAAGGTTTTGCTAAATGGCAATTTAATATGCATATTTATTTTATTTTGAGATCCCCCCCAATCTGTGAATTCCCCCTTATTCTATCCATATTTCTTTTCTGTGACATGCTCAAGGCCTTTTGTTTAACAAACTGTCCTTCGAGACAGGGAGCATCACTAGAACTCCCTGTGGAGCTCCTCCAGAGCACTGTTTGCTGAACTCAGTGAGTGCTGTGGGTGAGCTGTGACAACATTTCTGCTCCATTGTACCCTCCTGTCACCGTAAGGGCAGTGAATTTAAGCCAGTCTTCTCTTGTTTGTAATGTAAACACAAGAACAAAGAAGTCATCTTTAGAGATTTTTAAAAAATGTTAATGATTGAAGGTCTGAGCAAAGAAAAGCCAACTGAAGAGTGTAGAGCTAAGATGAGTTTGGAAATCTCCTTTGCTGTGGTCTCATGCTATTCAACCCATTCTTCTTTCTCATAGTGTGTTTGAATAACCCAAGTGAATAAGAGTATTTCTATACTACTAATCATTAGAGAACTTTAACTTTCTCCCTAATGACTTCAAAAAATACTACAGCAATAAAGTATCAGTGAACATAAGTGGGTGTGAAAGGGAGCTGTGTAAATTTGCACTTGCTGATTATGTATTGTTTTCCTCCATAGATGCTATGTCAGTAGTAACAGAGATCATGCTGCAAGAAAGTTTTGATGAATACTCAACACAGCTTCTTTCTCTCTATGTTTTATACCAGTACCTGGCAACCAAGTCTGAACATACGGTAAGGTCAGCACACTAAAAATGATACATAAACCCTCTGCTTCTAAGTGTCATGGTGCAGTCACTTGGGCATTCAATCTTGAATATATTTTATTTCCCCTAAGTTTACCTGAGAAAATAAATGCTGCAATTTTTTTTCATTATTTTTACAACTGCAAAAGAAAGAAAAAAAAAAGAAACAACAAAAAGCCATCAAATAACTTGTCTCTCCTTTTGCTCCTTTCTGTGAAAGGGAAGGTGTGTTGGGATTTTCAGATGTAATGTATGCCCATTGGAAGGTTATGAAATGACATTTCAGTTCAGTTCTAAGAGGGGTCTATCAGTTAACACAAAAAAACTGTCACCTATTGTATGTCACCCTGTGTCACCCTGTTAAGGTGGGTATTGCTCACCATTAGAGCTTGGTAGTGGTGATGTTACAGAATTATAAAACATTTTCACTAGGATTTTTACTATCCCATTTCACTTTGGGTATATTGTTTCTAGTATGTATTTGTTTTAAAACTAAATTCGTAACATGTCTCCTGTCTCCGAGGACTGGGGGTTTCTTATTCATATCTGACTTGTTTAAGGCCAATGTGACAGTCCAGGCTCTTGGAAGTGGCATTATTCTACCTTTGCAGAAGGAGCTCAGTTAGGTATCAGCAAAGGGCTCTGCCATGTCCATCAGTTTAGGCAGCACTTTTCATGTAGTTTGGCACAAGACTTCAATAGCATGTTGTCATTCTTAAGGAAAATGCTTGAAGCCTCTATTTGTCTTACATGAAGCATCTTCCAAAATGCATATTACAGATACAGGTTTTACTCAATTGGGTTATAATTTCAGTTTTCAGTAAAGAAGAAAAAAAAAAAAACTGTGCGTTTGCCCTGTTCTGTATTTTCCTTCATTCCCCAGAAGTCTATGCTCAATCACTTGTATATGAAAAGCAGAGGGACCTTCATTCCCCAGAAGTCTATGCTCAATCACTTGGTCCCTCTGCTTTTCATATACAAAATCTCATTTTCCCATTGTGTTTGTCCGTGTTTGTGTATCCTCACTGCAAAGACTTGTCAACATGTGTAGCATTTCATGAAAGCTGACTATGCAAGTAAGGGTTGTGTGGACATACGACACATTTAAGGCAAACGCATTTATGTAGCTGTGACTTACTTAATACGCATTTTGAAATAACCTCATCCAAAGACAGCAATAAGCTGTATTTTTCTATGTATACACCATACAGATTACCATTCAACACCTCATAATGCTTAGTACTGATATATTGTATTTGATTTAAGAAGTGAGGGTAGACAGAGTTATGAGATCTGCTCGGATGCTCCTGAAAATCCCATTCCTTTTTCGCAGGATGTCATACAGGTCAGCCAGCAGTGTCCTGTTAAGACAGGCCCTTTGCCATAGCTTAGGGTCCAGCAGCCTGATGAAATGTTTTGTAACTTTGAGAGCTGAATGTTGGGCTGAATCTGACTATGTTAGTCCTTCATGTATATAGCAGTGGTGATAGAGAGCTTCCATTTTTTTGCCTTTTTAAACACCACTGAGAACCTGACTGGCCTTAGCTCTCCCAGAAAGTTTCCTCCTTGACTGCTGCAAACAATTAGTATGATTGCTACCTTCCACTGCATAGGTGTTAATGTTAAGTTCTTGTGGGTCCTCCAGCTCTTGGAGCCAAATGGGCTAGCTCCTGAAAGAACCTAGTCCTCTAAAAGCCGTTTTTCCAGTTGCATATGATTTTCCTATAACATTCAGCTGGACTGCTGATTTCAGCACGGAACAGTCCTATCTCCTTGTATCCCTTCTATGCGTCAGGCAAATACTTTGCCTGACTGACAGGTGATGGTATTTTGTGTTGGATGATAACATGCAAATTCATGTAGCACCCAAATGGAAACACAAAAAAATGCCTTACTTTGAAAAGACATCTCTGAATAATACATTAAACCGTAAGGTCGAACCTTCGTGCTTTGTAAGACTCATTGTACCTCAGGGAATTTTTCAGAAGGTTTCTTCCTTTCACCAGTGATATTTGTTTCAGGTCATAAAGTAATAAACAAGATGCTGAAGTACCCTGCCACAAACCCCATGTGTTAGAATCAGACTTCCTCCATTCTATTGCTTTTTATAGCTTCCTTTTCCTCATTTTCTTAGCAATGGGAGTTGCTCAGCTCCTTGCACTTGCAGTAGAGAGACATTTATCCTTGATGTTTGTGATTCTCTGGTCTTGAAAAATGTACTGTACTGTCCCATAGCAAAACAAAATTCACACTACTCTTGTGGTTTTAATGTACTTACTGACTGGGTGCCCTTCTTTAGCCTTCACTGGTGGTCTGGCTCAGACAGCTGGCACTTCTCTCTAGCTGGAGAGACAGCTGTACTTCTAAATCCTGCGGCATACAGTGGTCTTGGTGAGCTGCATATGTTCTTTTCACAGTGCAGATTTTGGACTCGGAGCAGCCATTAGCAGCTTATTCTACTCTCAGAGTTTTCCTGTTCTAGCGAGGGATAGTGGAGCACGTATCTTACCACATACTTAAAAGAAAAGGCTGCTGTAGTACAGAAGCTGTGCAATTTTTTTTCTTCAGCAGTGTTAGCCTGAAGCAAGTGGTAGGACATACAGGACAGAGACAGAGCTTGGCCAGTGTAAATCAGTGTAACCTTCTGTTCTGAAGGAAATGCAGCGATTGACCCCCGTGCAAAATCTCAACCTCTCACATCTTACTGTCCTCTGGAAAGAGAGGTATTCCTCAGTATAATGTGCACTCTTCCTCAGTACATACATACTGCAACTCTGAACGCTAGACATGTTTAATGATTCTTTATTGCTAAGACATCTGATGAAAGCCATGTGTGCTGTCTTTGGCTGCTGCCATTTTATGTTTGTGTTTGTCAAGGGACACTTACTTAGTTTACATTATTTGCAGTGGGAAGAGGAGAGAAATCTTGGAGCATCACTAGTGCTTACGGGCTTAAAGCAAACAAGCACTGTGGGCTTTAGCTCCCAGCTGTATGGCTATGGATTCCTTGGTAAGTTTTGCCTCCTTCACGGTCATATTTTCCCTCTTGTCTTTAGTGGCTGAATTAAATTGGCATCTTTGCTTTATTAAAATGTAATCAAGGAGGCTAAGAAAAAAAAAGGCAGAAATAGTGGAAGGAACAATTTCAGAGGTAAGATTGAATCTATTTTGTAAGCCTGGAGGGTAGTACTGATTTTGAATGGTATGCCTTTTATCAGACAGCTTCAGAACCAACTTAGGGGCTCCTTGTAGGTTTGGATTTGCAGCTGAAAGAAAGAAGACTTTCTTAAAGAACAGTAGAGTTGGTTTGTTTGTGGACCAACAAATTTTTTAAAAAACCCTAAAAGTATAGAGTTCCATAACACAAATTTAAGGTTATGGACAGTAGACTGTTTCTGGGTAGTGAGCTTCTTAAAATAATCCTTAAGCCTCGAGAAGTTCAGAGCACAGCCTGAAAAACACCACGCGTAGAACATTTACTACTCACTGTAAAGTAAATATTTCTGCTGTGAACAGCAGGTAGAAGTGCCTTTACCCTGTATCTGTTAAGGAGTCTTTACTGCTAATGATATGCTATATTATTAAAGAGCAGTTAGATCAGAGCACATCCAGAATTGCAGGGGAGGGGAGTGGCAAATGGCGTAAGCAATTCTTGAATTTCCTCTAACCTTTAGAGGAATATAATGCAGATGGGTTTTATCCTTCTCTACAAAATTATTATTTACTAGAAAGTAATTAATTAATTTAAAATTTATCGTTATGCAGTTGTTCTATTACTGCATTATAATTTATTCTAGAATTTATTCAGGGTAATAAAAAGTGGACTTGTTCTTAAAATGTGGCCTCAAAATATGATGTGTAATGGCAGAGTTGGGATGCTGATTCAGATTTATCATGACTAAGGCAGAATACTCATTTTCAGTCAAAAAGGGAGATAAATGTGAAAATTAATTTGAAAGCGGGATTTTCCATAGAGCTGTCCGGTGGAGATACTGATACAATTAGGGACTTTGCTGTCCAGTTAACATTCAGTTCGGGGTGTTTTTTATGTCATATAGATTGGTCGAGTAGTGGCTGTATTTCAAAAATGCACTTCACTGTTTCCTGTGAGCAGTAGTACTTGTTCTGTGACATTGACATTTAGTAGATCAAAAGCTATTTACTGTTATGTCATGTATTGCACAGTTGTGCCGACGCTAATGGAACAGACCTGCGAGAGAGGGCACAGAGTGGCCTCAAGCACCTCAGCTATTTTAATTTAGCCGTAGTCCATGAGCTTTGTCTGTGCACTTATTACCTTGCTTTTCCTGAACTTATAAATTAGTACTCACCAATGTGATGTACATTTCCTCTATTATGTCGGAGTTCTGTGTTCTCTAGTAATTATCATCAAAAGAAAAGCCACATTGTCAGTGGTGCTGTGCATCACAGGGTCCTGCTAAAGACAGTGAAGACCTTGTTGCACAGAAAGTCCTAAATCAAGAACCAAAATCTCATTTTGGCAGGTTTCCCATATTTCCTCTCAGGAAGCTCCATCAAAAATAGGGGTACTAAGCTGTATAGTTAGCCAGAGCATGTGCTGTAAATACTGTACAGTCTGGCCATGACACATGTGTGAGTAGACCCTAAAGGCCGCAGAGGTGAGTCTAGAGCCTCAGATTTAGTTCACACATGGCACACAGTCAGTCCCTGAAGGCTAAAGAGACATTTGTCTGAGATCTGCAGACATTCTGCTCAGAGCTGCTGTTACAACTGCCAGACAACCAGAAAACCTGACCACTTTTCCTATTTTCCATCTGGACAAAATTTAAAGGTGAAGAAGGAGGGGGAATGGGGAGGAACCAGAACCAAATGTGTAATAGCTATGAAGTTGGGCAAAATTAAGGCACCTTAATAAAATAAGGTAATAGCAGTTCTGTCAGCAGCATTGTAGTAGAGTGTGTTGTATTTACCACAGAAGCCAAGACACCTCCTGTTACTTCTAAAAACCAGAGCCAACACATATGAATTCCATTAAGTGTTGAATACTAACACCGAAGTATTTTTTTATCACAGGGAAAGTGGAGTTGAATAAAGGGCTAAGAGCTGTATACAATCTAATGCCACTGATGTGGACACCTGGATACTTGAATAGAGCCTTGCAAGTGATGGAGAACGTGGCTTCATTGTCAGGGGACAGCAAAATCTGCAAAGAAGCTGTAAGTATGAAGGCTATAACCTGCTGAACAGAGGGAATTTCATACAAGCCAAACTCCAGTAAAATCTGTGAATTCTGTGCCTTGCTAATGAGAACAGGCCCAGCAACACTTCAGAGGTCTTCGAAAGACAGAAGAAGTAATGTTTAGATCAGAGCTACTGCTTCAGCTGATGAGCCAGTGATGATGTCTACTGGCATGTCCTCAGGAATGAGTGTCTCTTATTGCCACAAACCATTTGTTTCCTAAGCCTTCTCCTCCCTATAGAGCCATCTGGGTCTGTGTCACAGGAAGAACATGCCTGTGGGGATGGGAAACAAAGGTGGCTTCCTGGCTAATTCCATGTATTCTGTGCCCTCTGAGATGACAGTGTCCTGAGTGATACTGGTCCAAAAACTGTGTAGAGTGATTTCTAGAAGAGTTGCAGTGCCCTCAGTTGGGGAGGATGGATGGATTCAGTCTATTTGTGAAGTTGGCACTGACTAAGGGACTTGGGGTTTAGGAGTGCTGTGGGGCATCAGGCTAATCCTGGAATCAGACAGCTTGGGAGGAGTAACTTAGGAAACCACCACCACATGGGCTGAAACAGCACTGATGTCTCACCTCCTCTTTTTGGTACTCTTTCCTGAAGGTGTCTCTGGTGATGGGAGTCTGCTTTTTTGCTAGCATCACTACTAGGCTTGCAGTCTCTGCATTTCCCTTGACGAACAAAGGCTCAGCAGGTTCTGTCCTCCATGCTCAGAAGCAGCTCTGTGCAATACTGGACAGTGGAAGGAATGGTCACATCTGCAACTTCCACCATTTTGAGTTACCTCTTCGGGTGTGTTGTTTCAGGGATTTCTTCCTTACTTCAAGTCTGAAGAAGTCAGCCTAATACGCTTGTGATTTTTTCTTCTTACAAACCGTAGACAAATTAAGGAAGTCCTCCACTTGCTCTGGATTGTAGGTGAACATCCTAGTGTATCTGTACAAGGCTGTGCCTGTGGTAAAAAAGGTCCATAAAAGATCTCATCCTTCTGTATACTGATACTGTGAAAATAGTAAATGCTAGTAATACCTAGCAAGGCTTTCTTCGCAGAGACACTTTTTACTTTTTTCAGTGAACAACTAAGAACTTGTAAAGTAAGTGCTAATGCTGCAAGTGTCTCTGTACAAATCCAGTAGTAGAGCCCAAAAAGCAATGACCATGAGAGCTACACAGAAACTTCCCTGAAAAGATACTTGGCCTCATTTGGATTTTAGGTAGCAATATATAAACAGTGCAAGTCACATAAGTTTCACCAAGGTGAGGACCAAGAGCAGGCCTGGATGTTTTTTTTTTATCAAAATAATTTTTCTCTAATGCATTTTTGTGACCCCAGTGCAGAAAAGAAAACAAGGAAAATATGTTGGTTCATATCCTTAGCTGGTGTAAAGTAATTACAGTGTATTAATTTGCATCCTCTGGCCTTTTCTACCTAAATTCTTATTAAGATTTTACTATTAAAATACATACAAGGTATTTTTAATTACTATTTCAAACTAAAATGCAGTATTCCTAAGGGTGAAGGACTAAGAGCACTGACCAGGTCAATATCGGGATCAGTGAACTTCCACTGAATTCAGCAGCAGATTTGACAGAAACAACCTCAAGTGCCATAAACCCTTTTTTCCTGTAGTATCCTGGGCCTGTCTTGGGCAGGACTAGGTTGATTATTATGCAATTCTCGTAGATCTGTATCATAGCACTGAGAAGTATGGGCCATGCTATAAATCATTGTCCTTGCATGCCTCCACAATCACAGAGTTATGTGAGAAAGACATGGCCCTGGTTTTGCAAACTTGGTTCTTTTCCAAAATGTAATATTATAACTGTGCAGTTTTGGTGTAAACATTTTCAAGTGATTTGCCCAATCATTATCAGTCACTTTTCTTTCAGGCTTTAAGCTTCCATTCATTTCTGACTAGGAGGGTATCTCTTTTCTTTCTGGCATTACTATCTTAACAACGTAATAGAAATACTTTTTTAGTATTTTGCTATATTGTTTAACTGCGAACAAGCAAGGCAAGTTTTGGTTTTTAATTGTCTGAGTCTCTAAATGAGTCTGTGTATTTCCAAGCACATAGTTATTATTTCATTGGTTATTTCATTCTCTTTCAGTGCTGCTAGTTTAAAGATCACCTTTCAGTGTCAAGAATGTTATTTCAAATAAGCCTAATTTTTATTCCTTTAGCACTATATCCTTATGCTAGGAAGATGAAACCATAAGTATCAAGATCCCTTTTGCTTGGAGAAAGCATCACAGATTCAAGGGTTTCAGAGTTAGTCCATCCTACTGATAAACATTCAGAATTAGGATTCATGGAAGCTCTTTGCATTTTTAAAAGTTGAACTTTCAAATGCAGGCAGTCTGCATCCAATAATTCCAGTTATGGAGATCATGTTATTCCCAAAACAGCAGCAGTATCCATATAGCAGTTCCATCTTTTGTGTCAATGATACATACAGAAATAATTTACCAAGTCCCTTAGTGAAGCTAATGCATTCTTTTGATACAACTGCAGTTAGATTAGGAGAGGATCATTCTCTTACTACCTCAAAAGGCAAAAGCGTGAGGAGACTAGAGGTGTCACAGGTTAAAAATATACCTATACCAGTGCATTCTATGCCTACATTTCCATGTTTCCTGTTAAAATTATCAAATTAATGATAGGAATGAATATTCTTGTTGCTGAACAGGTGGTTTTCCTGCTTCTTTTCACCAAAGAGGTATTGAGATGATCTATTACACATTATATTGTTCAAACACTTGATAGTAACATTTTATTTAGATGTAGCTGTGATAGTGTGTCATGCTAGTGCTGTTACCACAGTGACTACCATGTAGCATTAGTATTTATGGCTGGAATACCAGGCCAAGAGGAGACATTAGCCTAATGCCTGACAGATCTGCAAATACCAGTCAGCATCTGAGTCATGGGGAGTTTTACTGTTGACAGGGGGCAGTGGCGGTATTCTGTTGCAGGGATTTAATGTCCAAACCCAAAGGTCCTAAGTACAGTACAAAATTCTTCAAAGAATCAGTCCCCTTTCCTTTTAGAATTCTTTTTTTCTTTTTATCATACACAGTAGTAATCTCAAAATACATGGTAACTCATGAAGTTGTTTGTAAATGTGACAGTGGTGTTACCCAGACTGTATTTCCAAACTTTATGCTAACAATGATAAATGTGATTGTTCAGATTGATGCTCTGGAGACCATTTTTCAGTCTGTCCTTGAGGCAAAACCTGGTCCAGAATCATCTGAAGAAGTCAAGAAATTAGAGCAGAAGTCACAGTGTGCAGAATCAGAAGAAACAGAGCAGTCTAAAGCACCTGAATACTACAGCCGATTCAAGGTAAGAGAGTTTCATTTATCTAAATATTGTAAGCCATAGCAGATCTCCATAATATAAACTAGAAAATATGTATGCTGGTTTATTATGGCTAGTAGACTGACACCCCTTCAGTGCATCAGGAGTCCTACCTGGCATATTTGAAACTGCTGCCATCTTACATTTTCACTTCTTCAAACAGGAAGCAGCAGCCTACAAAGACATAAATGCTTAAGGCCACTTGTCTTTTGTATGTCTGCTGGGATTTTATCTTCACTTTTCATACATCAAAATGATGAATCCAATCCTGTTTGCAAAAGTGGCATGTCATTAGAGATCCATTATCTGACCTTGTGTGGGCTCTTGCTCATTAAAATAAATTGTAATAGGCATAAGACCATCCTGAATTTATTGTCCATTTGTATATGTTGTGGTTAAGCAGGAATGTTGCATCCTATACTCTCAGTCTGGGCAATTAAGTAGGTCTATATTGCCTCCCTTTTATCTTTAGTTCGTCATGCTGATGATAACAATATGAAACACAAACAGTTGTTCATTAGGGCACGGCTATATAATGAGTACATTTAACTTGATCATCTCATAGCTATATAACGAGTTCATTTTATTTTTATCATCTGTGATTTGTTGCTGTGGTAAAAATCAAATAACCGCAGGTTGAAACTAATCTGGCTTATAGTTTGAGGAGCAGTACTCTTTCCATAGCCCATCAGTTTCCACTGTTGTTCTCATGACCTTGGACAGTTATTCTGGATACAGCTTGTCGTTCTTCTAAAGAAATTTCAGAAGTTAAAAGACTAGTATCCTATGGTTTCACCTCACATACACATGCTTTTCCTTTCTTTAATTTCTATTTACATAAATTATTTGCCACTAATCTTTAGATATTAAATTTGCTTTGTAGGCACTTAGAACTTTTTAATTAAAGTATTTGGGAATCAGTGGGTGCTCAGCATGTGATAATTAGTGCCTGGATGAATTACAGTGAATTAGGTAAACACAAGTGCCCTTTGAAGGAGGGAATGAGACATTTTTATGAGTCTCTCATTGTCTATCCATTGTCTGGCCTTGAAGAAGATAATGCAGAGTGCTCAAAACAAGTTCTAAATGTCAGGCTGGGGACAGACTAGTGCTGAGAGGGTAGTTTTCTTCTCACCTCAACCTTTCCACAAGTTCCATAATTAACCACAGTTCAGGCATTCCCTGGTTTGGCCATGACTTTGAGCCAACAAACTACAGTCCCTATGCTTAGTGCTAAGCTCTCACTAGAAAAGTCTGAATATAAGAAAGACACAACCCTCATGTGAAGTCTAGGCACCCAACAGTAATTTATATGCAAATAAGCCACAATTTCTCTTTGTCTGGATGAGAAAAGGAGCTCTCAAATTCTGACAAATGCCATTTCAGCTAAGCCTGAAAGAGCTCTCAGACTCTTCTCTCAAATCCATCAGGCCAGCACCAGCCAGTTTTCCAAGTTGAGCCCCTGGATGCCTACAGGCATAGTTCACAGGGAAGAGAAGTTCAGCAGAAATCCACACAAGACTGAGGGAAGGTGGCAGCTCTGAAGCAGCCTGGTGATGTTGGCATTCACAGCTGCTGTCCCAGCAGAGATCATCTGCCTCTCATGTGATGTAACCCCAACACAGGATTTGCACTTCTGCTGCTGAAAACACTTTGTCCAACCCTGTGTTAGCCAGCATGTCCCAGTTTTTCTCCTTGAGGTCAAAACCAATTACTTCTGTCTCCTCCTTGCCCAGTTCTCTTTCACAAGTCATACACCTGGGTATGCAAGGTAAAGCATGCGTATTTGCTCCAGACGTACAGTTCCTGTCTAGAACTGTAGCTTGTTCTGCATGGCTTTTATACACATACTTGGACTCCATGTCTCATACCAACCTTCAGAACAGCCATTTGTGGAAGTACCTGAAAAAGCCACGGTAGCCTAACAGGTATTATCTGTAAGAGGCAGCATGTCCTGCACTTCGAGTAAACCAAATGGGACTTGAGGGCATTTGGCTCTTTCCAGATAAAGCCTTTAGAGCTGTAATTTAGATTCTCTGACACTCTTACTCGTGTGGTAATTACCTGTTTTCAAATCCCTGTGTGCTGAGGCTCACTACTCAGTACAGTGTTCCTAAGGCAATTCCTTCCATCTGTGTCAACGATCAGTGGGCAAGCATTTCATCACACAAATGCTGGGAACATCCTCCCTAAAAGCAGTGCTCCTTCTCTAACTGCATGCAGAGCCCTGGAGACTGTTTATAAAAATCAATGATTTAGCCACTTAAGAATGTGCCCTTTTGGTACCTGCAGGACATTGAGCCTGCTGCTTTCCTAAATTAGTTTCACTAATGTATCTCAGCAGAGCAGGGAAGATTCCAGGAGTTCAGTGGTACCCGTAATGGCCTAGGAGAGAAGTCCTGCTAGTTTTCAGTTTGTTGCCTTTCTCTAGATCAGTTTCATACTGCTTGGGTTCAGTGCATAAAACCCCTTTTTTAGCACATCCTTGGTAGTGGTTAGTTGCGAGAGTCTGAAGGATCTAAACCAGTTATGTTTAAACTGAATATCTAATCTGTAAACATGAGCGTAGCTGTCAGGTTCCTTCCCCAGACCCAAGACGTGTGGTGCCTTCATGTTTCTCACTGATGCATTGTATACTTACTGACATCTCAAACAAAGCAGAGATGAATGCATCTAAATATTTCTGGGTTTGGTTTTAGTTCATTAGCTTCAAAACCATTGGTTTTGTTTTCATTCTTTATCATAAAATAAAAAACCAGACAGAGCCAAATACCCAAGCCCCTCAGACTTGCATTCCTAGCATTTTAAAGAGTCTTTAATCTGCCCTCTGTCCAGGTCAAACCTTCAAGAGTCTGGCAAAACATAAGAAAGCCTGTACTTCTGTTGGCTAAGGCAGAGAGAAGTGGAGACGCCTCAGAGGGGGCATCATAGTTCCCTGCATAAGAACAGTGCAGAGCTGAGTGGCAGTGCCCCTGCAGATTCTTGCCAGCGTGGGCTGGGGTAAAGGAACACCGTGGGCCAGCAGCACAGTGCATAAGCTTCCAGTGATAACTGGAAGTCTGGGTATCTGCATGGTCCCAGAATTGCCATTTTGTTCGGAGGTGAATGATCCCCACATCTTCTTTCCATCATCCTACAGTGCAAAACAATAGGCTTTATTCAAAGAGCCTAGGAAAGAAGCATGGATGTACTTTTCTTTAGGACACATACTTACTTTAAACATTTCTGCAAGTGCTGGGCTCAGTAAAACGTTGTATTTGAAAGAACAGTCAGGAAAATATCTTGCTATCTAATGAGTGAGCAAGGGGTAGAGAATCTGCCCAGTGCCATGTCATCTTTCTCCCCCAGGAAACTACTCCTTGGTTGTTTATCTGCACTTTTAAGGCAATTAATCAGATTGTTAGTGAGCCATCAAGCTACAGATCCAGAAAGCCAGAAATAGTCTCACTGGATGATTCATCATCTTAAGTGAATTAACATTTTTATGCTGCATGAAATCTAGATAAGTAATGCTCAAGAAAGAAATACTGCACAGTTTCTTACTGAAGCTGTGCTCTTATTTTCAGTGTAGAGTATTCCTGAAAAAATATCCCTTGCTTTAGCATTATACATAGACTGTATAAGCACAGTCAAGTCTCAGATCACAGTAACTGTTGGGAAGAAAAATCATGGGAGTTACTTAGTATGCTGTTAGCAAGAGAGCATTTAAAGTGATGTGTGTCTGTTGAGTAGGGATGCTAATGCAGCCGGTGCGGAGCAAATAATTCAACCGGTTTTGGGATAAGACACAAACCCAAGGTCTTTAGATTGTATTTATTGTTGTTGACTGGTCAGCTGATCTTTGTTAATACCAGATGACTGAATCTGGAAAAATAAAGATAATCTCAATGGTTAATTAAAATGAAACCTCATTGTTTTAGTTTCATTGCTCAAAAAATTATCCTACCATTTCAAGAAATGGTACCAGCTACCACAGTCAAAACAGTTTGCTGGGATAAAATAGTTACCTGGCCTGTATAGCCTAGCTAATAGTTAGATTCAAACAGTGATGTACTGGTTGTTACAGAGAAGTATTTTGTGGCTGATTATTTTGTGACTGACTGGCTCTCTCCTTCTCACTCCCCACCAAATTCCTTTTTATGACAGGAGCTGTACTCTAAGCTGCATTCACTTGGCAAGGTTGAATCTGAAAGCCTGTTAACCCTGACCACCCAGCTTGTCAAGGAAAAGCTGCCAGCATGTGAAGTGGAAGACATTGCAAAACACGAGCAGAAGCTAAAGGAGTGGGAGCAAGAACAAGCACTTCTCACAGAGAGAGAGAGAGAGATGAGAGAAAAGGCTAAGCAGGAAATGGAAGCTAGGAAGCTAGCTGAAGCATCTGCTTAGTACTGGAACTCAAAGACTACCAGAGTGGTATGCATTCCTCTGTCAGCGAACTGAAGTGCTCACCCGTATTAATGTTTCACTTCAATCCTGCTGCAAGTGTGACAATATGTAACTGCTATATGCAAATTAAACTTTTCCCATTTTGCCTGTTTCCTGAAGTAAAGCGCATGTGGTTTAGAAATCTTCATCCTGTATATGATATATTTTCCTCCTGCCATCAGCTAGGCAGCGGGTGGGATGGAGGCAACACAAAGAAACAAAGGCATAAGAAGTAGCTTGCCTGTGATGAAAGGTGTAGAGGGTGGAAGGAACAAAAGAAGAGGGAAGAATTTCAAACACAAGTTGTTTCAGTAGGGGTTTCTCACAGAAAGAATGCCTTGGCTACTCTGAACTTCAGATGCTAAGAGGATTAACGTATATTGGTTGCTTTTTCTTTCCCAACCCATTTGGAAAATTCAGGGTACTATACATGGAGTTGGAAGCCTAACTGGTCTGTTTTTAAAACTACTTTAAAGAGGTTCAGCCTAGCGAGTTAGCACTTGTACAGTCACTCAGATGTGCTTTTCCTGTAAGGAAGTTAGAAATTTCTGAGTTTACGAGTGCTGCTTTGCTCCATTTTTAAGGTCAGTAGAGAAACATGCACAATCACCTCAGGACACACCGAGGAGTCTCATACTGCAGTGCAGTTTCCTTTTATATTCTGGGTGCTGTTTCATAGGGGTTTTGACCTAATTCCCTTCTTGTCTCAGCTGTGTACATGGTCCCATGCCCCATTTTTCAGATCAGTAAAACAATGTAGCTATTCACACAGAGCACAAGGAAAGGGCAAGGGAGGAAAGGATCATCGTGCGCTGGCTGTGGGCTGCATCAGCATCCATCCCTGCTTACATTCCCCATCACCCCTGAATCTCATCAGCTGCAGCCAGCAACTTTATGCAGCTCATGGCAGGATAAATTCCTTGAAAATAGGGAGACCCTAGCAACAGCTCTGCTGTATGGGAGCTTGTTATGGCAACAACAGCGTTGTCTCACTGTGCTTTACCACAGGGTCTGATAAGCATTTCCAGTTTTATCATGCACCTGTCCAGTCTTAGAGTGCTAAAACTCCCATCACATATTCACTGTGCATCCAATGAGAACACACTGCAAATCTGTGAAGTGAACTTGTTTTAAGTGTAGGAAAACACCTTACTACGTGCACCACATGCCTCTCTTATTCCCAGCAAATGCACTCAGAGCCTGATGGCTCTTTCACATCCAAGAACTTGGCAGTAAGGTCCTTCACCCCATCTTGTCAAGCAAGCCTCATAGTTTCACCCATGCTGCAGCAAGAGAATGCTGTCTCCAGTATGTGAGTGATTTTGTGGCTTGGCCTAACTAAACCAGCAGTGAACTTCCCTGGGCAACTTTCTCAAGTCTGAAGTTTTTTTCCTTTTTCTTGGTCTAAATACTTTCTGATTACTAGAAGTTAGGGAGCCTTAAGGGAGAGTAGGAGGCTAAATGCACTCCTAGAACAGTTTCTTCAAAACTGGTGGCTTTAAAAAGGTCATCGCTCTTAGTCCAGCCACAGGAGAACAAAGTGTCCCTTCCCTGACCACGTATGTCAGTTCTTCAGTATCGGAAAACAGCTTGTACATCCAAACGTTAACTATCACTCCTGCATCCTGATTCCCTTCTCAGCTTCTCTCTGCAGACACCATTTCTCCCTCCTGGGATCTTCTCTACACCAGCACAATTTTAAGACCCTCCTTGCTGACACACCGCCTCTGGCCGCTGCAGCTGCCTGACCCTGTTGCTTACGAGACACTGTCTGGCCAGGCCACAATGGGCACTGCCATGTTTCTCCTTGTTTCGTGTTAGCATCCATTTCTTGGCAGCACAAGAAGCCTCACCTCCGCCCTCCCTTGCCCTGCCCAGCAGACAGGCCAGGCTCCTAATGCTAATTGAGCTCCAGCAAGCTGCCAGCTGCCTTGCCCCCCGCTCTCGGAGAGCACGCTTCACTTCCCCTACAGCAAACCTCCCTTTCCAGTTATTTAGACTTAATTATTACAGCAACAGGAGAAGAAAATCCTCTTCTAAGCTCCAAGTAGCCTGTTGATGAATATTACAGGTTGCCTCCTTGTTTTACCCCAGGGGTTAACTTTCAGACTGTGGGGTTTGAATGCTTGGATCCTGGTCCAAAGACTAAACATACGCAGTGTAGATACAACCTTTCTCTGCCTTCCTCCAAATCTCCTCCGTATCCCCCTCTGCCCTTGGGAGAGGGGGGTTTCCCTGCCAAATACTTTGCAGGTGGCAAAGCAGATTCCTGGGGCGAGATGAAGGACACCAAACCCTAGACCTGTAGCAGAGGGTCCAGACCATTTGTGGCTTAAGAAGCCAAAAGTTTTGCCAAGCCCTCTCATTTATCTTTCCCCCTGGTATCAACCCTGAGTGAGAAACCACTTGTGACACTTCCACAGGCTGGGCCAGCTGCACACCAGGGCCCCTCCTCCCACCCTCTCATGCCCCAGCCAAGTATTTCCATGGCCTAGTAGCCTCCTTCTTGCTTCTCCCCACCCCAGGCCTCACCACTCTCACTCAGTTGCAACCAGCTTCCAGAGCAGTGTTTTCTCACCTAGCAAATCCTCAGGTTGCCCACAGGGCTTCCTGCACCCCCTTGAATTCTCCAGCAGTCCTCATCGCTGCTTCTCCTTTGACCTCACCCTTGATGCCCTTCAAGTTCCCCCCGTAGTATGTCCTCTCACATTTATTTATTCCCCTTCTCCAAGGAGGCCAGCCGTGTCTCTTTGCTCCTCACCCTCATCTCAGGCAGCAGCGTGCCCCCAGCTCTGCGGACAGCAAGCAGCCCGGGGTCTCAAGTGCTCGGGCACCCTGAGGTGTGAGGCCCCTGGACACAGCTCAGTCTTAAGAGGCTGGAAACAGGAATTAGCAACTGATGCCTGAGGGAGGGGAGGAAGGTACGCTCCTCTTGGGTGCTCTCCCACCTGCTAGCTTTGAGCAAGGTCAACAGCGAGACAGACAAATTGTGAGACGAGGTAATTCACAGACAGGTGCTGCTCGGGCACGTGCTTGGCTTCCTAAGGGAGACATGGACGGTAGCTTTCCACCACAAACGCAGCAGCATGAAGAGTCAACAGAGTATCAACTAACTCAGCTTGGCTTACCTGCTTTTCTCCTTTTCACTCCAGGAAAAGTAAGATAGACTTGACTGCTCGCCCCCTTGCATAAATCACATAGCACACACAACCTGTTTGTCAGCTGCTTGCTGGATTACTCTTAGAAGTTTGAAGACCACTTGTAAGCAACACCTAGGAGTGAAACTGGGCCGCAGGTAGTCAAAAGCCCATCAGTGCAGATGCCTGCAGCTTTGTGTGCACTCCTGTGATAGCCATCACCCGCTGTGAGGCAGCTGGCTGCCTTTAGAAGAGGGGGCAGAGAAGTCATACAGCAGCTTCTCATCTGCTGCTGCTGAAACATAAGGGAAGAATGTGGATAGGTGTGTATATACGCATATTAAAAAAAAAAAAAAAAAAAAAAAATAGTTTTGTACTCTACAGACACAAAAAGCTGCTGAGTTCATCCAGTCCTGCACCCTGGCACTCATTCAGTGGGAGCTCACAACCCAATGAGCGCTTCCTCGCTGAGGCACTCTCAAGCTTTTTGAAATGTTGCTGGTCCTTGCTGCACTGTTTCAGACAGCTGCCTCCTAGACCTTTCTGTATGTGGATGGGACTGGCAAAATATTTCCTGGAGGGATATTAAAAAAAAAAAAAAAAAAGAAAATAGTTTTGTACTCTACAGACACAAAAAGCTGCTGAGTTCATCCAGTCCTGCACCCTGGCACTCATTCAGTGGGAGCTCACAACCCAATGAGCGCTTCCTCGCTGAGGCACTCTCAAGCTTTTTGAAATGTTGCTGGTCCTTGCTGCACTGTTTCAGACAGCTGCCTCCTAGACCTTTCTGTATGTGGATGGGACTGGCAAAATATTTCCTGGAGGGGACAGACCAAAATCTTTCTTCCTAGTAACACTATCTCCTTCTTTTGGATCACCTCTCCTTCCTAGAAATGTTCCTTCACATCCTGTTTCGTTTGTGACTACAGCTGTGATTTGGATTAAAGGTATTGCAGTTTCTCCCTTGTCAGTATATTTCTGAATCACTGGAGTGCATCTTTCTTCGTGAAAATCTTTTAATAATTTCCCTAGTCATTATAGCGGTGTCTGTATAGCTAAAAGCAGAGGGAAAAAAAACCTCACAGTGCTAGAAGCTATATAGTTGCATGTACAGTCACTGAGCTGTGCATGCAAACAAGGTGACCAGCAACTGAAATACTACCTGCCTGCATTAATGCTTATGGTAAAGCATTGCCAGACTTGCACACGCTAGACAGTGTTAACAGCTCTCCCATGTTTCCCTGGGCATGGGAGAGACCGTTCTTTCAACAATACTAGCCAAAAGAAACAGAAACCAATACGAATGCAAAGCCTCTTTGGTATGTTGGCATCAATTTGGCAGCTGTTAGGAGAAAAAAACCAGCACTTTAAAGGTTAAAGCTCTTCCTTTTAATTCAAAAAGCAGCTTCCCAACTGGAATCCATGGCAGACACCAAATATGCTGCTGATAAGACAAGCAAATATGTAACTCTTCCTCCCACAAGTGTCACTGGCAGAACACTTCCAGTGAAGCAGTGAAGGTCATTATCCATTATTCACAAGAGGAAAATTACATATTTATTCCTTTGCAGCTCAAATAAATGTTGCCTGAAGCCTTGCACAGATGGGCCCTATTTATGGTAACAGCCGACCTTGCCAAGTAAGGTTACTGGATGCTCTCAGACCTGATCTGATGCTGTGTGTACACACAGCACTGGTATCGAGCCCCTTCCCACAGCTTCAAGCACCTGGTCCCCTCACCAGTAGCCTGTCCCAGCCGCTTGCCTGCCTGTCCCAGGTCTCTTTGGTCACCCTAAAACTGTGGGACCACGATGATGACCTACACGAGCTGCAGATGAAGGTTGCCTGGTTGCAAGGGGGTTTCTGACCTGAGCATCTGTCAGTGTGCCACCAAGATAGGCAGAAGACAGCCCGGGGCACAGGTCAGCAAGTGTCCTCTCTTCCCTCACCTCCTCAGGAAGTTCAAGTCATAGCTACACAAGGGAATAGCACCCTTGACTTTGAGGGGTGCACGATGAGGTCCACTGAAAAGCAGCTGACTGCAAGTACTGCTACTGGTTTTGCTGGGGGGCTGTTACGTGGAAACTACAACTGGACCTTGCAAAATGTATTTCTAGTGAGTATGTGAGAATGTCTGTGGTAAGTAAAGTTAAATTTACCTTCCCAGAAATGTAATGGTGGGAAATGTTGAGATGAGGACAAGGTGCTTTGACTGTAGAAGAAAAACTACTGCTGACATACATGATGAACACCCTGAACTTGGGACAGTGACTCCTTCAAAATAAAACTGTGGAGAATGAAGTGTAGGTCAAGAATTAGCGACAAAACATTAATTCAAGAGTAACTTAAGATACTAAACATGGTACTAAAAGAAAATGGTGCCATCTAGTCTGGGTCAATCTCCCCATGGAAATACATATATCTGTCAGTAAACGCAAAGTTGTCACTGAACTCCACTAGCAATTGCATACTATTAACTCTGTTGCTGTTCTCAAACATTTCTGATAAACTCAAGTCCACTCAACCCATGCTAAATTGCAGATGCCCCAGGCACAGAAATAGCATTAGAGCCCCATTGACAAGCACATTAGATTATCAGGACAAAATTCAGTTTTCAATATACCTTGTTTATTTCAAATCCTGACAATTCCTCCCTTAAATGAATTGGGAAAGAAACTTACAGGTCTGTTCTGGTCCTTACACATGGTAACTGCTGCTATAATTACATCGCTGGAAATTGTAAACTCTTCCTGGAAATACTGACTTGCTCTGTGGGGGTATGGGGTTCATATTAAGTATTTAAATGACTCAGTGGTTTAGATTCCCTTCAACTCTTTAAGCTAAGGAAGTAATGCAGCTGGGCTGAGATAACAGATTTATAAAAGCGCAGTCAAAATGAATTTCTGGACCTTAACAGGTATAACAGGGTGTAAGCTCAGACATCGTTATGTGTATTTAGCTTTGTTTTTGTTAGGAGGTAAGTTCCATCTATTTCACTTATCTTCTCTGTGTAGTTTATATGCACAGATGATGGCCCGAGCTGTGGTATGATGTGTAAACCATGGCATATGCAATTGTTTTGGCAATGGAGCTGGCAGCAGATGCACAGGCAGCCTTGGCCCCTGCCTTTGCCAGCTATTCACACTGGGGCCAGTAATGCTGGAGTTGTTGAACTGCAGAGAAGCAGCTACATCAAGTGGTAAGGAGCTGTGAGAACCAGTGAACAGGGCTCTGCGAACCACAGCACCTGCCAATTTAGTTCTTTAGTTCCCCTCAGTATTTAATTTCTGGTGGAAATGATGCTGAGCATGCAGTCAAAAACCCAGCAAATCCCCTGCCAAGCTGAGGGCACTCAGCCTCTGGTCGTTTTGGGCTGAACCTGAAGAAAGCACATGCAGCACAAGAGAGGACGTTGCCCCGGGGGTTTCATGCTAGTGCAGACAGCTCGTGTCTGAGGGAGATGAAAGTAGGGGCCACAGCAGGAGGCAGTGGGCAAAAACTGTTCCCTGGGTGAAGGACATGGGCAATGCTTGTGCAGCAGAAGTGCCGCATGCCCAGAAACACCCTCTAGGAAGCCAAGAAGCTTTGCCGCGATCAATGCTGGGAATGAGCTGGATCTATGAGGTGTCACCATGGCTCTTACTCAAGAGACCCCTGGACACCTCTTTTCACCCCATCCTAGGAACCATGAAAAGCTACAATTTCCTCCCAAGCACTGAACACTAGGAATCAGTATTAAACAGTCTCCAGGTCTAGGATGCCACAAGACAGATCCCTCATTTTAGACAGACCAAAAAGGTCTGAGTGACTATCATTTCCCCATGCCATCTGAAATACTTCATAAGCTGATGGAATTTGTTCATTAACACTAGTGGAAATAAAATTTCTCCTCCTCAGCAGCTGCGTTGAAGAAAGGAGCTTTCATTTGGCATCTGGAAGCAGTAAGCCAAACACCACAGGCCAGGCTGGCCTGCCCCTATCTGCAGGTACCATGAGTAGTCCCACCTGTGCAAATCCAGAACTTCATCCTGCAGCTGCAGGTGATAATTGGTGTTGAAGCCTGACCTGGTTTGTTTTGCACAATCATTTTAGTATATTTTAAGTAGCATCAGGCCACTCTACCACAACAGCTCAAAAAAACTTCAATGTAGACATATGCAGGATTATATTTGAGATATAAGGTTTGCAGCAGTTGACTCCCCTCATCTGGTCTTCATTTTTCTCTACTTCGTCATGCTCAGCCCAATTCAGGCCAAGCACAGTATTTATTAGTTATGAGAAGTTACAAATGAAACCTTAAGAAGCTGGAGTTGGAGAAGGGTCCACAAAAAAGGCTGCTATGTTGAGGGCAAAGGAAATTGCCCAGGGCTACTGCCTCTCCTGGGAGCAAGCACCCCTTGCTCCCTGCTGGCCCAGCCTTTACCTGCTTTCATGTCATTACCATCTCCCTGAGCTTAAAAAAAGGTAAGTGTTGACTGCTGCACCTCGCCATGGCAGGCATTGCAGCAGCAAGCAAAACTGCAAAGGCAGAAAGCCTCATCTTACAGCGTCCCTTTAACAGCAGCAGAGGAAAAGTCCAATTTTATAAAGTAAAAAAATAAACTGAGAGCCCAGCTTCCCCAGATGCTCCATCCCTTCTCGCTGGGATCACTGGGCAGCAGCAGTCGGGACGGGTCCATGTCCACCGGAGACAAGATGCACCCTCTTGTTAAACTGCAACAACTTTGGAAAAGACCTCTCTCTTTTCCAAACCAGGGTGGGCTCAGTTTGACATAACTTTATTTGGTATCATCTCAGGCACAGCCCCTTGAATGGGTACTTACTGAAAATGAGGTGTTTTCTCATGCTGCTGAGGGATACAGAAATGAGAACAACAAAAAGAAGCCACGTCATGGTACATCATGGTAAATGTTTTACGCCACAAGAGATAAAAGTAATCTTCTGCATTTATTTTCCAATTTCTAAATAGAGATTGGTTCTTATCTAGTGTTTAAATAGTGATTGACCTTTTGATAAAAAAAGAACAACAAACCATATAGTAGGTAATCATGATTGAAGGAAAGGGAAAACTTAAAAATACGCACATACACAAAGACAAGAAACATGTCGACACCACTTTACCACTTTTGTATTTTATTGTGGAACTGAGTTTGTTTCCTTTACATCAAATATCCTCAATGGACGAGGGGATATTGCACACAAATATCATAAAAGCACTACATATTACTTTCACTGGAAACTAATTTTCTACATTAGATATGACTGGATA